CAATGTTGAAAACAGTTTTTTTTTTCCCCAGGATTCTTTGAATAAAAAAAAAAAACAGCATTTCTTTGAAATATAATTTTTTCAACAATGTAAAGGTACTGTACTTTTCATTAATTTAATGCATCCAAGCTTATTTCTAGAGTGAAAGTATAAAACGGTATAAAGTATACAAGTATGTAATTATTAAAAAGTATAAAACATTTTATAAGTCCTGTTATTTCTCAGAGTTTGTTTTTAACCCATAACAGCATCATATGTCACTGTAAGAAAAAATCCATAGAAAAGATTATGGGCATTTCTTTTAATCCTAAAACAACACAATTTAATGCGTAATTCAAAATAAAAGAAAAACACTTGTAAAAAATCAATAAGGATAGTTCCTTCATATTAACAGAACGTTGTGCCAGACAGTTGCATTGTCTTCAGAAGAATGATTTGTAAACCTGCCTGCCTGAACCATATTTAGTTTCACCCTCAGGGGTTTTTTTTTTATCTTCTCCGTATGTAAATCTATAACCTATCCCTCTGTTGAAGCTCTGTACCTGAGGCCACACTTAGTAAGCCACTAGTGACATTAACTGCTAATTCACTCCCGCACACACAGAGCTCATTGTAGACCGCTGCTACTCCAGCCATGCAGGGTTCATGAAGGGTTAAGCATATTCGTCTCCTTATAGAAACAAAGCAAATAGTGGCACCAGGTCTTGAGGGTGAAATCACAGAGATATGCCTGCCCTCTGTACACAAGACACGTGATGCTAATGCAGGAAGCCCTCAATGAGCTCCATTGTGCGCTTTTGAGATAGCGAACACACCGTCTGCACCGGATAGAGCTGCTTGTGTGTGCTGTAACTTCTTTGGTATCTCATCAGGAAAATTGCCACATCAGATGTCCAGATGATCACTTGATAACGCATGAATTAGAGGGGAAATTAAAAACCCCTTCAAGGTTGCCAGAGATTAATGTCAAGAGCGAATCTTTCAGAGTTGTTTTCCGAATAGCTCATGATAAGGACTGTTTTATTAAACGCCTGCTGTAACACTTAAACCCACGTATAAAATCAACACTAGATGACCTTTCAAAAAGATTTACCAGAGCTGTTTTGTTATGAGATTTAAGACAAAGTTCAGTCAAGTGTTTAGTATGAAATTAATTTCCTTTGTAAATTCCAGCTTTTGAAAACAATTCCGTTCTGGAGGACACCCACATTAGAGATTTGATTTGATAAAGGCATGTACGTGATCCTGTTAAATCCTCACATCTGCCCTCACAGTATTTTCAGCTCATGTTTTCTCTCTCTGGGCTCGGCCATAGGGTGTTTCTCTGAGGTCAGGGCCCCGGGAGGCTGCCGTAAGCTTCTCTGATAGGATCCACTGCCTTGGCCATCCGCTCTTTCAGGATCAATGCCAGTCACCGCTTCTACTCACTTTCTGATAAAGCAGTCACACACACATAGAGACATCAGATGGCCACCCATTGCTGTTTCATTCCCAGAACACAGTGCACCGCTGTCCATTCCCCCTCTTTCTCTTTCAGCGGCTGACAGCTACATTAGTCTGCCTCCGAAAAGTAAAAGGTATTGCATTTTTTCCCTCTTTTTTTCGGTTGAGACATATGGGTTTGGGTTTGGGGGTGTCATGGAAGGCATTTATCTTGGTGAGATAGTGATTTAATTTTAGGTGATGTATAACCAGCCTGTTGCCGTGGTGATGCTCCGAGGGAGGTGATCAAACCTGTTTTTCACAAACTCATAGAGACATATATATATTTATATACACACATCGACCTCACGTCCCATGACTCGAGCGCATATCTCTGTATTCCAGAGTGGAAATGTCCGGAATGTAAGTCATTTATCATCACTGACATGGCTGGTGTTTACATGTCCCTGAGAGAGACAGGGACAACAGCCCACAACTGAGAATTAATAAACACTGATACACTGACACACATTCTGAGTGCTCATATTTTTGGGAGTAGTAACCAAGGCCTTTATTGTTTTTTTTGTTTTTTTTTTCAATTTATACATTGTTTGCATCCTCGTTTACTCCTATGCCCATTTTGCATCAATGTTGTTATTGGTAACTGAAACGATTTTTTTTTTTGGCAAATAAAATAAAACACGTTTTGATTCATTCTGTCAAATACGGACTCTGTCTTTACATTTATTTTGAAAGATGAAGCTCGCGATTATGGTAAGGGGCGTTACATTTCCGACGAGTGCTTGCGGTGTTCGGCCAATCACAATGCACTGGGTCAGCTGCCCAATCAGAGCAGACTGCGCTTGTCGGAAGGAGGGACTTTGTAGAAAACGAAGCGTTTGAGAGAGGCGGGGCATAGAGGACCTACAGTAATGTACAGTATTTGAAAAATAATGTGTTTTTTGAACATTAAAGCATGTCAACATATTCTGTTACACCAAATACACAAAATAATGATCTTTAAAAAAGCATCATATGACCCCTTTAAATAAAATAAAAATGAAAATATAAAAAAGTACTTCAAAGTATTAATAAATACTATAATAGTATATAAATAACACTAAAATAAAACTGTTTTGCATGTCAAAAATGGCTGAAGCTGAGTTTATTGCCCTTTGCTAAGCTCCACCTCCTTTGGTTACTGTTGCTATAACAGAAACCGGAATGAACTGATGATTTATTTTTAACTTGTTAAATTGCACATAATTGCTAATAATACAGCTTGTATTGTTTCTTGGAACCTTGTTACGCATTTCAACACACACGCACACGCACACATACAGGTGCATCTCAATAAATTAGAATGTCGTGGAAAAAACTTTAAAATTGTGTGCAGAACCAGAAAAAAATACAGGTCCTCCATATACTTACATTTGAAAAGAGTAAATGCGAATGTGAAAATTGCAGACAGCATAAATGATGTTATGCAATTCTAACATTTGTTTTGCAGGTGTACAGTTATCGAGAGAGAAAATAATTTAGACCTTTTTCTGAAATTGTCGCTAAACTGTTTTTAATAGTGTTTATTTGCATTTAATTTGCTTAAACGTGAATGTTTATCATTAACACAACATCTCTCTGGGTGTTAACATAATGGCCTGTTTCCTGCTATCTGAGGCACTGGAAGCCCGCTTAGCATTCAGCGTCTGTAAATGAACCTATAAGCCTCCGCTCTGGAGACCTACTTATGCTTGGCGTAGGATCATACACACACTGATATGCCCCTTTAACAAGGGCAAACATGGTGTACACCACCAGAATCATATGCACCAACTAATCAACAGGCACATTTGACACGGTCATTTTACCCCAGCGGTCACGTTTGGATTCGTTCCGTCAAATCCGCGCTTAGACATTCTGTCAAATGAAGCAAGGGTCGCTAAATTGTTGAACTCTCGGTGACCTGTGAGTGATGTATTTAGGTCAGAGGATTGAGATGGATATGACAGAGCTTGTTAACCGAGACTCAACAAGGCACTGGAACATTTTTGTGTTTTTTTCACTCTGTCGCTATATTTCAGATATCGGTTTGCATATGATGCCCTGTGGTAGATTGGTGGCAGCAGTAGTATAACTTATGGCTATTAGTGTGTTTGTAAGACTAAAATTCTCTTTCAAAACCTGGTTGCTGCATTGTTGCCTATTATCTACATTAGGAGCAAAGGTACAGTGTACTTAACAGCTTTAATGAGGAAAAGAACTACAATCCCATGAGAAAAAAAAAATCTTAATCAAATGAAAAATTATACATAAATACAAAATTGTTGATTTAAAGATGTTAATTGCATATATAGAAACAACATTTTGTTTATTGCAAAATATGCATATTTGTACAAATGGGCATGTAGTTTGAAAGTGTAGGGAGAATCATGCAGAACCATGGGTAATGTAGTTTTTCACCAGGAATTTTGTTCTTGAACAGTTATTTTAAAAAAAAAAGTTAAAATAATGTGGACTAGAAGCTTCAACGAAAGCAATCAATTAACAACCTTGTTGCTCGCAATTGGTCTGTTTTTAAAGTTTCATAGGATATTGCTAAAAATCTATTCACCAATTGAGAAAATGAATGGGATTTTTTACTTCCAGAACCTGACTGTTGTACTCTATACAGTTTGGCATTAGCACACTGCTAAGATAACATGTTAATCTAATAGAAATAAAAAACACCAACAACAGATACCAAACACAAATATTGAGTGAAGCGGTGACAAAACTAATTAAATGTATGTCCACTTTTTTGCAAAGGATATAGACGGTGCTGTATTAGCATCTAACTAAAATGAGACAGCATAATTTTCTGACCTACATTTTGGACCCTTTCTGTCAGAAATGCACTTCTAAATGCTTTAAGTTTTGTAATTGTTGGAAGTTAATGGCCTTACACATGAAGAAAACTACGCTAATGTTTACATGTGTGAGTTTCTTAGGTTAATCAGTAGATTAATACTTGTCTGACTCGATCATGCTTGTAATGAGAGGGCAGATGTGGTGTGCTCAGGTGACTAATACTTTGTTTTCTCAGTTTGGGTTCTAGAGTCATTTGTAAGACAAACTAAGTGCACTTTTAGACGTTAAAGATTACAGGACATCTTCCTCTCGCTACCTGCCACCCATCACAACAGGTGCTGTGCCCTCCCTTCGGTTCTCACAGACTGTCCTGCCCGCCCATCATGGCAACAGAGCTCTCTAATTGGTTCTCAGTGGATTAGCCAGGGTTAATTAACTGCTGTCTTTGATGGTGGAAGGCTCTGATGAAGGTCTGTCATGCTGAATAATGGGGCTGCCTGGGAGAGAGGCTGAGAGTGTGGCCAGGGTTTAGCCTTCTCTTTTCTCTCCTTCATTCCTGTGTTTCAGCATCTCAGCTATAAAGGATTAATGACACCATTACCATGATTTATTTATTTTGTGGATTTGTGTAGAATCATCAATCTGTTAGGACATTTTTATGTTTTTTCCCCTTCCATCTAGGCTGATGGTAAATCTTGTGTTTTTGTCTCTTTTTTTCTTTCTATCTACAGGCAAGCCCGTGATGATTATTACAGAGTACATGGAGAATGGATCGTTGGATACTTTCCTGAAGGTGAGGAAGGCAAAACGCCTGTGGCACAATTCCACACCGATGTTCGCATGCCATTTAAGATGCTGCCTTACATTTAATTACCTACAGCCAATAAACGAGCATCGCTCAAGGGTATAAGCCACGGATACCTCCCTGAAAGTCTATTACTGGAGGGAAATTAAGCATGGAATGGATGCCCGGTGCAGGCAGTGCGATTCAGTTGCTCACTGTCCTCAAATCCTGTCTGTTGTACAGCAAACGTGCCAAGGTTATAATAATCTGAGTTTTGGAATTTGCAATACTTTCTGAAAATTCAGTTTTGTTTTAGTTAGTTTCAATACAGTTTTTGTTTCATGAAATATTCTTTTTTCGTTTTTATATACTTATTTTTAGTTCAATATTTTCTCCCAACTCAACAGAATATTTCCAAAAATATATATTTTTGGTGTTATATTTTACTTTATTTTTCGGTGAAAGTTTTGTTGACATTTTATTTCTTTTTTATTTATTTGCAATATTTTTTTTATGATTATATTATTTTATTTCTGCTTACAAAAAGTAGTTTTTGCCTTTGTTTTAGTATTCAATAATAACACTGGAGCATGTATTCAAGTGAACGTGTTGCGAATGTGTCTCGTATAGAGACAGGAAGTGAGTAAATGAACTCTGTAGATTTATAATAAAGGTGCACTCTCTCCACCAAGCTGCCATAACGTCTCCTCCGCAATCCTCGCTAATTTATTGCCGCCTTTGTCACCCAGCGGATCAGGCCACGAAGTTTTATTACACGCAGCACAGATACGTTTTCCTTTAAGTCAGGACTCTTTTTAATTGCCTACACTTTGAGAAAATGAAAATGAAATCTAACACCCCCACCCCTAAAAAAGGGCCTGTCTGAGACTTTCGATTTGAGAAAATGAAAATGAAATCTAACACCCCCCACCCCTAAAAAAGGGCCTGTCTGAGACTTTCGATCTTTCTGCAGCGTACATAATGAATCCCATAAATACACCCTTAGCCCACATAAAAAGCTAATATAATTATGGGGTCAGTTTTATGGCTAATAGCTCATAGTTCGGCCACCCAGCTACATGTGTTTAATTAGAGGACAGATCAGTTAAGCATCACTTACTAGTACAAAAACAAATGATTTTTCTCTGAGATGTCTCTATTTCTGCCTCTCTCTGCTCTTCCTGTAAGTAGCGTGGCTTCTGACACTAGATTGATAACAACCAGTTGATCAGACCAGACGATCAATCAGCAGCCACATTTCACAAAACACAGTGTAATTAACTTACCCACATTATGATGCATGAAATACTATACGAGCGCATGTTTCAGATTGATATTGCTCGGAGGGACAAAAGTGGGGGTTTTAACAAGATTAGTGTACGGCCCAGATATGGAGATTAAGACATTGGGCTAATTGCTCATTGCGAAGATTGTTTTTGAGGCATAATGGATGTCCGGGCTCTTTTGTTTAGCTAACAGAAGCACCAAATCCAGATGATTTCACATTAATTAAGGCCTGTAAACATTTGAGCAATTATGGCAGAAAGAGCAGTAAAACCAGAGGTCAGACTCTTTTACATAATGAATCAGAACTCAGGGCAAAACCATTGGAACTGTGAAAATGGAGTGTTTGAAAAATGCATGAAGGCTGAATAATGTAATGTAAAAATGTTAACAAAAGATGAAATGTAACATAGCAACTAAAATATATAATGCTAAAGATATATAAATATAATCATTTAATTTGAATTATTGTCTGAGTAATGTAAATTTTTTACAGAAAATCTTCAGATATTGCTAAGCTAATGTAATCTATAAAAACATTATTTAAACATTTAAATATATATATATATATACATATATATATATATATGCA